TTTAACAACTCTGAGCTATTAGTTAAGTTCTCCCCAAACGAGCTTGATGGGCCGAATGGCCTCCTCTCGTTTGTAAATTTCTTATGTTCTTATGTTCTTAATACACCTACAGTGAATGAACAACTGAGTGTCTCTCATTCAGTAATGGGAATTCCGGCTCTTGTTAGTGAGCCAGATCATTTGGCTCAGCTCAAAAATAAGAGCTATTTCAGCTCCCAAATAACTCTTCATTTAGTGCCACTTCTGCTGTTCATAATTCAGCCATATTTAGCAATATTTTCACATCTGATTGATATATGTGTATATATATCATTTAAATTATTTGATGTTTTTGTACATTTATCATGTATTTATACCATGAAACTGAAAGGGTCCAACTATCTAACTTGCTAGCAGCAGCTTTTTGGAAACACAAAACAGAACGAGAAAGAGACCTGAAGGAGTAAATGAGTCGGTGAAGGAGAGACTCAGATGGACTGAATGAGAGAGCCGTACATCGGTCGTCACTGAAATACACCATCTACTGCTGCAGTATATAGCCTACATGTGCAGTGACTTCCCAGATGCTGCAATTGGATTTTAGAGATGCAACATTTTAATGATTTAAACCAAGGTTTGTTAGCATTTGGACTCATTAGTTGACTATGTGATGAGCTGTTAGGTTTGCATTTTTAACAACCATGAGTAGCTATTGTACAATGTTGAAAGACTTAGACTATAGTTCAATAACAAATATTGCTTTTCTCACGTGACTTATTGGTGGCATTTAGCTTATTCCTTAACACTATTTAGCTTAAATAATACATTATATTTTGACATATCAAAACACAAGAGTTTCAGATCTATTTTATGCAAACAAAAAGTGCCGCTGAACAAGCTGGTGAATGAATCAAAACAAATCTTTTAGGTGAACTGAGTCAAACAACCTGCATCCCAAAAAAAGTCATTTTGCCCATCACTGGTTACTGGAGGCAGGAATGTAAAGAAGCTCAGGTCAGGATAATTCTTCACAATTATATCGTCCTTTGCAGGAGCTCAGCTGCAACAGATGCAGGAAGAGAGCGGGCAAGATTGGCACCGACACGACACATTCTGCCAGCCCCATCTTTCAGCCACTACCCCCAAGGCACAGAGACAGTTTCTTCCCACGTGGGCCTGATGGATCTCCCAAACAGTAACATACATGCTACAACTGAGTGACTGAGTGACAGGCCAGGGAACCTCTGCTTCAGTCGCAATGTAAAATTGTAATTTGTAGCTCACTGTGTTACGCACTTAGCTGTGTATATTGTTACATACTGTTCACTGCATAATCATCCCACTTTAAATACTATATGTTGCCCTTTATTTAAAGTTCACTGTCTTGTTTGTGTGGTTCTCCAGCAAACACCAAGTCAAATTCCTTGTACTGTACGTATGATCTTATGTGGCCAATAAAAACTGATTCTGATTGCACAGAAACATAATCATTACATTAAAGGACTGAGCTAAGAACATTATGTTAACATACAACTAGTGCTGGGGAATGCAAATTCCCACACTATCATCCATTACTGCAACTGCTTAATCCCAGCTGGGGTTGTGGGGGGGACTGGCACCTATCCTGGGAACAAGGGGCACCAACTCTGGGCAGTTGCCAACACACCACAGGGTGCACACACTCACAGGGCCAATTTAGACACACCAATCAACCTGCCCTGCACACTTTTGGACCATGGGAGGAAACTGGAGCCCCCAGTGGAAACCCACATGAACGGGGGAGCATGCAAACTCCTCACAGAAATTACCTATGCCCGACCACCTTGCTGTGAGGCAGCAGCGCGAACCACCCCTTAACACACTATATTTACATATTAGTATACAGCTGGGCGACACAAAAGTGCTGGGGTGTGTAATATGTAAAGTTATACAATGAGGACAATAATACAATTACATTCTAAGAGGCGGTATTAACAAGAAAGTGAAACTTACGGTACCGATGTTATATTCTTTGACGCAAAACAGAACGTAATTCCAGTGCCGAAGCTACTTATACGCTCCTCACCACAAGCCCATCCATACATCGACAAGGTAAGAAAATTAATAAATAATCCAATACCAAGTAAATTCTTTTGATAATTAAGTACTGTTGATATCAGATATTTTAAGCCTTAGAACCAGACAAGCGCAAAATGCGTTGATTTTCGTATCCATTAATCTCAGGCTCGTAACTTTGGATATTTCAATTTCTTTCAGATGTTATAAAGTAATAAATAATACATATAAAACCATGCATTGTTGTCTATCAGATAACTTCAACAAGTTGTCAAAAGGCGGCAAAATCGAAGATACAGTAGAACCTTGGAACTCAAACGCGTCTGTCGATTTTTTTTCAGCTTGTACCTCGATCAAAATCTTGGAACTCGACTCTTTCTACTAATAATTCTATGGGTCTAGTGGTGTTCAAATCTACCAATTCGGACCTTGAGCGGGTCGGTTGAGAAAGATCTAGCTGCAACTCAACTGAAAACTCAGAACAGAACAAAACAAAACAGACATGAGCGAGGCACGTCTGATGGCAATGAATCGGTCTCAGTTTCTCTCTACCTCTCGACCGAGTTGCAACGTGCAAAAGCTGTATTTCTGTGTTCGGTGTGATTTTTTTGTGCTTCATCTACAGGACATTTAGTTATACAGTAATCATGGCCCCTAAGAAAGTGAGCAGTGATAGCAGCAAACCAAGAGGAAGGTAGTTATTGATGGACTTTGTCCACCCTTCACAGGCCAACATGGATAACACAGTTTATACCTCCCTTTCAGCAAGCATGCCCACTCTTTTCTGTCTTCAGT